CAAGGAACCGCTCAGTCAATAGATCAAAGCAGAAGACTTTAAGACTAGGCTGCAGCTTCTTTGCCACCTGGCAGAAAAGCAACTTCTCAGCTTTAACAATCTCTGCCTTGGAAAGTTGCCACCGGCCATTCAGGAGCCTAGGTCTGCTACAGGTATCACAGTAACGAAGAACAGTCCAACCAAGCAGAGAGCAAGGTTCAAGGCCTCTTCCCTGCAGCACTCTCCAGAGTACACGGTATTGCAGATAGCATTCATAAGGCAGTCTCTTACCTAGGCTAGGAGAGGGCTGCTGAGGAAGCAGGTAACAAGTAAGAACTTTTTCTCCTGTCTTTTCATCATCCTCTGTTTGGAATTTCAGCATGGGTTGGGACTGATTTTCTGCCAGCCACAGGGCTTTCAGGTTAAGATTTGTCAAAGCAAATGGCAAGTTCTGCAGTCTGCAAAAGAAAAGAAGAACTGCTGGTTAAACTTACTTGGTAATGAAGGAACTTCAACTCGGCTCCAGACTGCCTCATCTGCACTGGAACAGGACAGAGACAAGCCACTGCAGGATCCCGCACTCTTACACACACTGAAGCAGCTGGCTCATGCTGCATAGCATACAACAGTTTGGGTGGGAAGCGACCTTTCAAGGTCATCTAGTCCATTCCCCTTGCCATAAGCAGTGACATCTGCAACTCGATCAGGTTGCTCAGAGCCCCATTCAACCTGGCCTGGAATGTTTCCAGGGATGGGGCATCTCCCACCTCTCTGGGCAACCAGTGTTTCACCACCCTCAGTGTAAAAGATTGCTTCATTATATCTAGTCTAAATCTACCCTCTTTTAACTTAAAACCGTTACCCCTTGTCCCATTGCAACAAGCTCTGCTAAAAAGTTTGTCCCCATCTTTCTTATAAGCCCCCTTTAAGTACTGAAAGGCCACAATAAGATCTCCCCGGAGCCTTCTCTTCTCCAGGCTGAAGAGCCCCAACTCTCCCAGCCTTTCCTCATAGCAGAGGTGCTCCAGCCCTCGGATCATTGCTGGGGCCTCCTCCGGACCTGGCTCTGCCACAGCCACAGACTGGACTCCAGTAATCCATCCTCATCAGTTTTTAGCAGAGGACAACTCCCATCAACAATGTGAAAATGGTAAACTGTGAAGAGGGCCTTGAAGACAGAAAAATTATGCTTTCATGGACCAGTAGGCAGAGAGTGTTTGAAACAGAAGCTCTGGTCAGCTTCCAACTGCTACAAAAAATACCAGCCTCAGCTAACAAAACTGCAGCTAAAATCTGCAGCATCTTTCAGAACAGATCGCAGTTATCTGCACACTGTGGGGATGTGTGCATCGTGAGACCCCCGGGAGCTCTGCGTCCAGCTCTGGAGCCCTCAGCACAGGACAGAGCTGGAGCTGTGGGAGCGGGGCCAGAGGAGGCCCCAGCAATGATCCGAGGGCTGGAACCCCTCTGCTGGGAGGAAAGGTTGGGAGAGCTGGGGCTGCTCAGCCTGGGGAAGAGGAAGCTCCAGGAAGACCTTATTGTGGCCTTTGAGCACCTGGAGGGGCCTGCGAGAGAGCTGGAGAGGGGTTTCTGACAAGGACATGGAGTGACAGGACAAGGGGGAATGGCTTTAGACTGAAAGAGGGGAGATTCAGATTGGATATTAGGAAGAAATCCTTCACCATGAGGGTGGTGAGGCCCTGGTCCAGGTTGCCCAGAGAAGCTGTGGCTGCCCCCTCCCTGGCAAGGTTCAAGGCCAGGTTGGACGGGGCAGGGAGCACCCCGGCTGGTGGAAGGGGTCCCTGCCTGTGGCAGGGGGGTTGGAACCAGATGATCTTTAACCCAACCCAAACCATTCTATGATGAGAACTGATAACACAAAACTACAACGGTCCCTGCCTGTGGCAGGGGGGGTGGAACCAGATGATCTTTAACCCAACCCAAACCATTCTATGATGAGAACTGATAACACAAAACTACAACATCTGCAGGAAGGAGGACAGCGGACAGGGATTTTCCCTGATCTTTATTTCACACTTGGCGAAACGCCCCCACACATCTGCAACAGTTCTACCCTGTAACAGGGAGAAGGGCTTAACAGGCAAAGCTTGAGACACACACGCCCTCTTCCCGGAGCCCTAAACAGCCAGTCTGGGCTCCTCCAAACCGGGATCCTGGGATCAGCACAGATCCAGCGTCTCCCAGAGCACACCAGCGCCCAGACCATGCTGCTCCCTCACGGCAGCCCCCTTCGGAACAAGCCCACAAGACTGTTCCCCCGTACCTGTTCCCAGCCACATCCAGGACGTGAAGCTCAGTGGTGTTGGCAAGCTCTGGTGGCAGGAGGGCCAGGCGATTGTCTCGCAGGGACAGCACGTTCAGATTGGCACAGCCTCCAATCTCAGCTGGAAGGGATGTTAGCCGGTTCCGATCTACGTTGAGGTTCGTCAGCTTGGCTAGCTTGCCGAGGGACTTTGGTAAGGCCTAGAAAGGAGATGATTCAGTAGTTGCAAAAGATAAGAGCAGTAGAATCAAGGTATAAACGCATAAAGACATCTATCTGTGGAAAAAAAAGCTGCCTTCTGTCCTATCAGACACATTTTCGATGAATTTCTCACTATAACTTTGGGACAGATTTTCCCTCAGGTTCACAAACCATTACATGCCAACTCTTCACCTCAGCACAAGCACAGAATACCACTGATAAAGACTTTTCTCCCATTCATCTGTCCATTCCCAATACTTGTGTTTTAACAATCAAATCATGAGCAGTTTGGAGCAGGGCCATTCTAAATTACACGACTCCATGGCCCCTTGCCAAACGCAGCTTTTGACGTAGTCCTGCTCCCATCAGATTGGATGGTCTTCAGGACTGGCTATCCCAGAGCGAGCATCCTAGCTATCTTCGAAAATTTTTCAGAGAAAAAACACCAGCGACAGAAAGCAGCTTCCACCAGGGTCTTCTCAAGAACCTGTGAGCTAGCTAGGTAGAAAACTGTGCATCAAAGCAGCTAAAGGAAGAGCAGCTGGAGCATGCTCAGGAATTCTGCTCAGAGGCCAGAAGATAGGAAAAGATCCCTGTCATGTGGCTAAACTGAACAGCACAGGAGAGGGAGGGTGGCTGCTGGTGTACTTACTGTCAGCATGTTCTCTGTCAAGATGAGTTCTGACAGATTTTCACAGTCCCCAATTGACTCTGTCACCTCTGTCAGCCGATTCTGGTCCACCTTGAGGATGGAGAGCTGCTTCAGCTGACCTGGCCAGGGCAACAAGCTAGGTGTGAACTATGCCACAGAGATAACGATGCTGTTCTGTGTTCATCTGTCTGAAATTCCTCCCGTTAGGGATTACGTTGCCTAACACCACACGCACTACCTTTCTTCCCCACCAGGCTTGTTCACAGGTTTTACCCACGCGTGATGCAGGTGAAGAACCAACTTGTCCTGTAGAGTTCTGCTTGCCTTTATCAGCTACTGCTTTTGCACTCAGCTATGGTGACTATGTCCATCAAGTCCTAACACCTTGTTACACCCACTCTCGCCTGAAGCCCCCACCCCACCAGGAGCACTGCCTGGGCAGTGAAGTCCTGCACTGCTCCCCATCTCCCAGTACTCACCAATCCCATCTGGAATGCCTTCCAACACGTTCTGTGACAGGAGCAAGTCCGTCAATGCTACCAGCCCACTGACCTCATTGGGCAACTGCTCCAGCTTGTTCTCCGACACATCCAGACAGACCAAGCGGCGAAGATTGCCCAGCTCCTAGGATCAGAAAGGAGACACTGCAGCTTGAGGGAGCAGCTGAGGAAGGGAGCAAAGTGGTGAATCAATGGCCCTGAACAGGTACTCACTGGAGGCAGGGCTGAGAGCTGGTTCCGGTCTAACCAAAGCTCACGCAGGTTTGGTAGCGCTCCCAGAGTATCTGGCTGTAACAAAGCAGGACAGTAACAGCGTCAGTCCCTTCCACAGGGGAGCAGCTGTTCTACAGCGTTACATATCACACAGCCCCTCTGCAAAGCTAGACGTTGTTATTGCTTCCACACCTCCTAGAGCCATTCACCAAATGGTTTATGAAGCTAACGTGCTGGTGTGCCACATATGTTTGGAAACGTCTGGGATTGCATACTGGCTGCAGAAGGTCCCAAGAGGAAACACGGAAGACAACAGCAAGGACTGTCTGGTAGCAGGCAAGACAAGAACTGAACAGGGGCATAGAAACTCTGGCCTTAAGGAAAAAATGAGTCTTTCTCCTCTTCCTCCTCTCAGACGTGAAAACAAACATTTGGGTAACACTGGCCAACTCAACATGAAATGGCAGCACCATCAGCAACAGACACACGTTCATAGCCTCACTCCACAAACCCCATGCACACCGAGTAGCACCTGGGTTTGGAGCTAATGCACCCCTGGAGCGCGGTCCAAGCGTCAGACAACTATTCCACAAGTAAGCAGCAGCCTTGTGTGTAGCAAGCTGCACAGACTCCCTTGCCTCCCAATTTAGATGGGTTTCTGCCAAAAAGCACTCCAGAACATTAAGAGCAGGATTCGGTAACAGCTTAATCCACAGCTGTAGAATTAAAGAAATCACTGGATGTCCCTGAACGTCTCGACAAGCTGAATTTCGAGACTCTGCCCTGGCTCTCAGCAGGTTTACACTCGGAGCCCTCCATGGAGGCACCCCAATCCAGAGGGCACACATGCCGTGCTTGGCTGACTCACTGCCAGGAACAACACGGAATGGTCCCGCACTTTGCAGCTGAGAAATCGAATCAGAAAGGAGGAAGGCAGAAAGCTGGCCCAGCAGAAGTGAAAAACAACAGCTGGGGGCAGTGCAACACAGAAGAGAGAGGAAGTACCAGAGCCCCTAACTGGAAAGGAAAGATCCTTAAGCAGCTAGATAGCAAGAATTAACATCCCAGAGCAAAAGTGCTTGGAAAGAGCAGAGCAAGTTGTGCATAAGGACAGCAGAAAGCAAGACACAGGGGCCAACACATAAATAGAACATTATGCTGGGAACAATGACTAAGCCATTGTGGGCAGATCAGAATCTTCTCAAACAACTTGCAGGCCTATTTCTTCACATTTCATATGAAAAACCACTTGCTTCCATAGAGGTACAGGGTTCTGCCCTACCAACCACCCGCATTCCCTCCCCACCATCCCTCACCTACCAGCACTTCCAGGTCATTGCCACCAAGATCCAACTGTTCTAGCTTGACAAGGAAGGAGAGTGAACTGCACGATACAGGGAGCAGAGAGAGAAAGAGAGGAAAAAAAAAAAAAAAAGAAAGAACGAACGGAAGGTTAGCATCTGGGAAACACATCTCAAAAATTACATAATTTTTAATAACTCCTAAAACAGGTGGGGCAATCCTGACCTTTTTCATAGTCCCTCCGAGACAAGCAGTTTAGGGCAGTTGGTACCCTTCCCCAAGCCAGACCATCTGCTCCAGGGAACTGGGTTCAGTAGCATCACCAGTCCCAAAGCGAACGGTTTCCACGCTGTCACCAATTTGCCTTCTCCCCCTCTCACCATAAAATACTCTTTGAGCAAAAACATGACAGATGACAAGCCACACCTTAACACTGCTGCCCACTTCTGTAGCAGGGATGGGGAACTGGGCACAGACTAACAGATAACACTAGAGTGTCAGCAGAGGACAACATGTATTTGGGGGGCAAGGGGAGCACAGCGGCAGGGAGTCAGGAATGACAAATTCAACAGCCTCAGCTTCCCTGAATGGGATGCCCATGCTGCTTAAGTGAAAGGGAAAGACAACACTGGCACAATGTCTCAGAAGAGGTCAACACATACAGACAAGAAGCTCACGAAGCAAGACACTGTGAGAAGCCTGCACAGGAACCAAAGCCTGTCAACACTGGTGGTCCAAGGACATGCCCTGAGTATCCAAACACACTGCGACCTGGTGGTATAAAAGGCTGCAGTCTGCAACCCCACAAAACCAGGAGTCAGTTGTTCTGACATGGCCCAGGTGTCCTCAGCTCTCAGTCCTATGCCGTCAACTCCAACTCTCACTTCCCCAAACTTGAGCTGCTGTCTCACTTTACTCTAGGGCAGAACTACCATCTCAGCCCTGCCACTTCCCCATAGGGAATGTCTTCAGTTCTTTTCATTCTCTTCATAAGAAATTGTCCTAACACAGAAACCACTGCATTTCTCTGAATATAGAGCTACACATCTCAATGTCATCCAAACTAAGGAAGCTGGGGGCTGCAAATCTATAAGAAAGCAATAAAAGAGATCTGTCTCGCATGTGCCAGGCTATAAAAATATCTGGGCTACAAAGGAAAAGCAAGTTCTTACCTTATGCAGTGGTGTATTTTGAGATATTATATTAAGCAAAGGTTTATCAACAGGATCATCAAAAGGATTCTGTTGTATAGCAGTCTCTCATTATGACTGTACATGTGCTGTTTGACTTCTCTGAAGGGTGAAGCAGCCTTGACTGTACTTTCACAGTTTGAATTCCCCCACAAGCGAGCTGTGGAATCCACGCTGATACACGAGGTCTTGCAAAATGCCTCACTACAGATCACCCTCCACTATTCCATGGGAATACATCAACGAGAGCTACCCTTCCCAAACTATTGGCAAGCTGCGTCCCATCTGTGTGGGAGAGACGAGGAGCCATCAGCTGCACAAGACGAACTGTTTCAGAACTCAGCTGACAGCACAAGACTAACCAATGAAATTAAATTTTGACAAGTAAAGGTCATCGCAAGCTGGATCTTTTAAGGGGCCCAACAACAACAACAACAAAAACCAGAAGGACACCGATACACTACGCAGTCACAAACTCACAGTACTGAAGCCCACCTACCTACCAGGCTCAGTAAGCTTGCAAACTGAAAGCATCACCCATCGCGGTAAGTCATTGCACACTTTGGCAAGATCACTTGGACTTGTTTAGAGCCATTCTTGCGCACAATTTGCAACCAAACTAAGTACAAGAGCTTCAGATCTGGGTAGAGCACCTGACAGGACCACTTAGATTTCTTTGGCCATTGATTTTGATCTCATATTTGACTGACAGATCTGATGAAAATTGCCTTGGCTGTCAAGATCCTCTTTCTACTTTTGGAAATCATCCAGAAGTAGAATTTGGCGAACTGGGGAAAGGTGAAAAGAAGCCGGAACTGCACTGCAGAATGAGTATCAAGCCTGGACTTCTCTTTCAGAGAAAAATCCCCAAAACTCGTAGCATGCTACAAGTATCTTGCTGGATGGAATACAAATCTAATGCAGGGAAACAAGGGAGCACTGGGCATGAGAGATCTCCCCAGAAACCGTACGGGTTTGGTCACAGACTGAATTCTCAAACTCCAGACACTTGCTGGTGAAAATCCACTGGGACCATTTTTCACTGCAGTTTGAAAGCCCAACTTTGGATGTAGCTACTGCACCTCTTTGTTTACACGGTGTATCACAGTGGTGGTACCTGTCTGTATGAACACAAAGCATACACAGAACAGACAGCAGTGGGTCCCAACACCAGGACTCAAACTTCTCCTGCTTGCCTGTTCTCAGCCTGGCATAAGGACCTTTGGCTCTCACGTTCTCCCTTGTGGCTATACTCCATGTGGGGCCATCTCAACTGGTCTCCTAATATCGCCTTTCTGTGACAGGGTGTTAATGATGACAAGTTCTGTGCAGAAACGATCCAGTGACTTTGGCATCAGAGAAAAGATGACTTAATTTGAACGATGCTTCTACATTGTGTAATCGCCAAATGTAAAGCCTGGGAGCTGACCAGTGCAGATTCTTTCAGCTCCTTTTTGGAAGTGTCTTGTCCTCTGGGTCAAAGCTGACACATGAGTTCTACAAGCAGATATAAGTGATGTAATATAAAGCCTGCACTTGCAGGTCCCAGAGGAAAATAACCATCAGGAAGAGCATGCACCTGAGGTCGAAGCAGCATCTCACAGTGAGGGAGGCATGGCCATCACAGAAGCAGCAAGACTACAGCCCTAACTGCTTGGAGTCTCAAAGCCTTGCTTGAGCACTGTGTTATCAGATGCCTCCTTTGCCCTCTTGTTTAAATAAAGCAGAGGAGCAAGGGGGCAAAGTACAGGTAGCCAAATTAAATACTTGCCATGAAAAGTAAGAAGGCACTGAGGAAAGGTGGCAATAGGTGCATGCTTCACACATTCACTGAGCAATTTGTACGGCCCCAAAACACACTGCTATTCAAAAAAAGGCAGGTAGAATCCCTTCCAACATATATTCAAGGAAGACTGGGGGAATCATCAGTTGGATGGATAAGCAGGAAGAAAACAAGCTGACAGAGCTAATGTAGGTTAGAAAACTCAACAACTCTCAGTGGTTCCAAACCAGAGATTAACGTACAGACTCATTAGTTCTCCACTTCCTATCTATGTGATAGCATCAGCTGTACCAACCAGATCCTCTACCAGGAATTCATCTCTGTCCCTAACTCTCTGAAACACTTAAAAAGACTTACCTCTTCTACCTTGCTGGCTTACTTTTGGTCTGCTGCAGGAAAGCCACTTATCCTGCCCATTCCCCCAAACTGCTCAATCAGAACAGTCAGCAGGGATACCCAAGAAAACAGACATGTCAGAAGCAAAATTTATCTTCAGTCATATTCTGCTGCTATTCCAGTTATGAACTTCATTGTATACAGAGTTCTTCCTATACCCACATCAGTACATTTTTCTCTCTTTTTCCAAAAGAATCTGTCATCTGCTCCAACTGCCCCCAAAAAATGGTTCTCACCATTTCCAGCAGCTTTCTTGTGAAACCCTGTCTATTACAAATCAGTCCTGACACAGAGGCTGAGTACAGACTCTGAACATCCTTCCCTGCACCTTCTCTCTCCCTGTTCACCCCAATTCACAGAAATCCAGCAAGATGCGGCTAATTTATGCAAAGCCTTCAGCCCTCCCAAGCAAAGTGCTACAGCCTGTACTACAGGAACAGCAAGTCCCTAAAGGAATCGGTAAGAACGATCAGGCAGGAGACTCCTGAAGCCACCAGACAGACACTCACGTGGGGAGAGTCTTTAGCAGGTTCTCACGTAGCTCCAAAGTCACCAGGTTTGCCAAACTGCAAGAGAAAAGGGAGCAAGAAAGCCAGATACACTGAATAGGCCTTCAGGGATACAAGAAGATGCTCATATCCCTTCCCTTGGGACCACCCCTCACGGCCTGCACAAATGCATATACATGAGCGTGTACACACGAATGGAGATGACAGGGGAAAACAAAAAACAAAGAGGCTCTTAAATGACTTCCAATGAAGGTGACTGATGATTGCAAAATCACAGGGAAACAACGCTGTGCCCAAACTCAGGGTAAGGATACGTGGTGTCACATAGAGGACTGTCTGCCCAAAAAGATAAAATCCCTCAGGTTTAGAAAGTCTAATCCCATGGGAGGGGCACTGCACCCCATGGGCTTTGCCTTGACCATTTGCTAGCAGCACAAATCATTTCAACATCATTGGACAGTTTGTTTGAAAAGGGGCAAATGGGCACTCATAAAATAAGGAAAGATAAAGGATTTGAGAAGCCTAGATGCACCCCTTCCTGTGCCACACACCAGAGGAGGAGAAGCAGCTGAGACCAGGAAAGGAACCTTTCTAAAAAGGTTGTCTTTTAGCAAGAATAATGCTTAGAGGTGCTCAGACAGTACGTTCAGTACAGTGCCAAGCTGTCACTGTGATGGCACACTCTTCCCCTCCAAGTCCTGCTAGCGTTGCCACCCAAACCCTCCTCCCTGTTACGAGGAACAGGGGCATACTCACTTCCCAATGTCATTGGGGAGGCTCTGCAGGGACACATCATTCAAGGCCAAATGGCCGAGGCTCCGAAGCTGTGTGAAGCCCTCTGGAAGCCTGTGAAAGCATGGCAAAAGAACCCACCATTAATTCTGCGCACAAAACAAGACCCAAATTCCTCACTTAAGTCCCCCAAAAGTCAGTCTTATCCCAGTCAGTACCAACACGTGGAAAAGTGAAGAGCAGGAACCAACTTTGACCTTAGGCTCCCGATCCAGGATATGCCCCGCTTTCCAGACAACAATATCCCCTTGCACTGAAGTCACTACACATTCAAGTGTGCAAGCTTGGCTCTGCAGTACTCCAGCATGAATCCCAGACTAAATTATACCATGTAATCATTCAAACTTGGAAAGAGGAAGAGCTACCAAGCAATCCAAATGCCCATCTAAGGATATTTCTGCAGATGACACTGCAGCATTCCCCAGGACCCAGCAGTATCATCACAACAGCTCCAAGGCGCAACAGGACAGTGAAAGACCCGTAAAAAAGAGAAATCCTTTGCTGTTCACAGGCAGTTCCTGGAGCTTCCCCGCCCCACTGCTCACAACACATCGCACAGCTCTGGGCCAAAAAAGACTCCGACAAGTAAGTTCTACACTAGAAGTGCTGCTCTTTGCCGTGGTACAGGGATTCTCACCGACTGAAAAGCTTCTCACGTTCTGGCAGTGTCTGGCACCACAAGAGGGAAGCAGAGTTAAATCTACCGAAAGGGGGACCTGGGCAGCGCTTGCCCATGAGCACAAGGGGCAGGAGGCACCTGGAGTCAGGCTGGCATCTGCAGGGACCCTGGCAGACAATGCATCAAGACACCAGTGCCTGAAAGCATGGTCCACCAAGACAGAGGAGCCACACTAAAACTTCCAAAACATTACGGATTAAGATCTGTAGAGGCAGAAGGCTGAAGAAACAAGGCTGAGCGCCCAATTGCTGGACATAGCTCTGGGCACTGAGACACCAGGGACACCAACCAAACACAGTTCAAAGGATGGCCATCCTAAGCTATAAATGAGAGGACAGCGGGCAAAAAGGGCCGGCAGCGAGCAAAAAGGGCCGGCAGCGAGCAAAAAGGACAGCATGCAGGCCTTTTTCTACTCTTCTGTAGTACAGGTCCACATCCATGCTGGTTTGTGCACTAGAGTGAGAAGTTGGGGAGGGAGTAACAAACTTACTCCAAGAGGACGAAAGTCCTCACCATTCACACCAGTGGCAATGGCATGACTACAGGGTCATCAATCCAAGCCATAGGGCCTGCAGAAGAGGGAACACACACCAGCTCTTCCCTGCAGAAGAGGGAACACACACCAGCTCTTCCCTGCAGAAGAGGGAACACACACCAGCTCTTCCCTGTGTTGAGTGTTCCACCTGGCAGGAGAGCAGACATCTGCAGGTCTTGGCAAAGGCAGGGTGATCCTAGGCCTTGACTTCAAGGGAAGGCAATGACAAGACGAAGACCAGACAAAGCTAGGGAGAATGAGGAACTTCAACTCTCATTCTCAGCTGGACAAAAGGGTTGTATATGCCTTCTTACCTGGAGAGAGGATTCCCACTGAAGTCTGCGATTTCCAAGGATTTGCAGAATTTGATGCTTTCAGGAATTTCTGGAATGTCTGGAAAAAAATACGTGAAAGAAAGAAAGAGGCTTGAGAAGAGCCTATCATGTGAAAATGGGACACCAGGTACTGGTGACCACCCAAGACACAGTGAAACAACCACATTTTCATAGCTCAGGACCCACGAGAGATCATTCTGCAGGACTGTGGAAGGGTACTGCCTCTTCCAGAACATGACTGCACAGGACAGTGCTACCACACTGAGAGTAGCAGGCCTTTGACCTTACCGTTACGGGAGATGTCCAGTTCCACCAGCTGCATGAAGTTGGCAACCTCAGGAGGAAGTCTCTGGATTTCATTGTCACTCAGGCCCAGCTTGCGCGGGTGCATCAGCCTAAAGAAAGGCTACGACAGGACATAACAAAACGGGGTCAGCAGCAGTTCTGGGGGAAACCTGTCTTCTCACCTCAGGTCAAACCTGAGCATCCATCCTTGGAGACAACTGTCTTGTCTCATAACCTCTGGTCTGGTGAGGTCCTCAAAGTGCAGTAGCTGCACAGATGAGAACCCCGATTAAGGTCTACAAGAGATGAAAGTGAAAGAAGAAAGGTATTTAATAAGTCTAACTTAATGATTCATTTATCACCATTGTCCCACTGCTCTTCTCTGCCCTTTGTAGGACACATAATGGATTTTCCTTGCTTCCTAAGACAACAGTTCATCTTAGGCATTCAAATACTAGCACCATGACGAAGTCACTACACAGCAGCTCGCCAGCAGACACTACAGCGTTTATGAGTCTGGTCCAGAGAAGCCAACCAAGGGGAAACACACGCGGTCTTCCAGACTGCAGTCCTGCCTCTGCTGTCATACACATCTGCTGTGCAGTGCACTTTGTCAGGACATCAGTGACAGGTCCCTGCACCAACAGGGCAAGCGTTTGTGCCACTTGTACTGGAACAGAAAAGGAGCAGGTAAACTATCTGCAGGGCCGAGGTAACAAAGCATCAGAGAAGGAAAGAAAATTCCTTTCTAGTAACACCACAGTCCTAGAAATGTTGACTGGAAGGGACCTCAAGAGGTCTCCTAGTCTAACAACACCCAACTTCTTCACACCTACCCTTGCTCTCACAAGTCAATGATATTAGCTATAAATGGTAAATTACAAGATTCATCAATCATACTCTTTCTAGGCATCCACAGCCTCTCAGTAAGTTTACTAAACACAACCTACTATAGTTATCAACTGAACAAATCTCACAGCTGCTTCTAACTGCCGTCGGACATAGGATACCGGACAGGATGGAAACCAAGGCTGTGGCGTTTGCTGCATTTCCTGGATCGTTTCAGAGCGCCTGGGAATAACAAACAAACAATACTGGGCCACTGCAGAAAATGAGCCAGTTTCAAGAAGTTTACCCATAACCCACAAATAGACAAAGGCAGACACTGTGTCTCTGATTCTGTGTTTGGGTTCTGCCACAGCACAGACAAGTGCTCTAAGTCACCTCTAACACTTCAGAGTTTTAGATAGCCAGGCCTTAAGAAGCTCATAACTCAACTCATGATGCAAAAGAAAGCAGCGATGAAGCCAGGAGCAAACTCAGGCCTAGGAAGTGACAGGCAGAAGCCTGCTAATCCACGGAATTATCCCGTCTGCTCTCACCAGAGGCAGAGACGGAGTTAGAGTAGGCAACAGAAGATGTAATCGCGGGATTACTTACAGATCAGAAAACACATGCAGAGAGTCAGGGCTGCTTATACAGACCACACAGCGAAGGATCAAACAAGAATCTGAGGTCTGAACCTTCTTTCTCAGTTGCCTTTCCAATAATCCACCTGCATAAAAGGCTGCTGAAACAGACCTCTCCAGGAATAGCTGCGGGGTTTTGAGATCTGACCGGGTTTGGGGTGGTGGGACACCCACAACTGTCACTTATGACAAAGAAGAATAATACAGACCAGACAAGGCATGGGCAAGGATTGAAAAGGTGATGCACAACATAACTGTGAACAGATACACAGACCACAGAGAGCTGCTCGCCCCCCGAGACAGGGTGACCATGAGGTCTAACAACATTACTTGAGACATTTCCCTGCTGTAGATCAAAACCTCTGCAGTCTCCCACAGAGGTGCCTCGGTCAGGAAGCGCTGTTGGGTGCAAGTGCGTGTTTGAGGGACAGCGAAACACCGCATGGCCTCTGCTACGCTGCTGTTGTGCTTCCACATCACTCCCCATGCTGAAAGCGAGAAGTGCTCTGGGATGAGCAGCAGTGACACGAAATTCATACTCCTGATGTCCTAAAGTAGTACAGGAGACCATAATATGTAAAAAAAGAAGAAAAAAATAAAAGTCCTCAACACTGGACAGCATAAGTTCTTGCTAATTCAGTTTATCTAATGCAAATCAGTTTAAAAAGAAAGGAAGTAGGTGAAAGTCTAAATGACAACAAAGGTTCAAGCCAGAGCAGGAGGTTTAGAGACTTGAATTGCTATTGTTTCCTAGATCCTTCTCCTAATTTTAGAATGCAAGGAAATTCCAGGCAAGACATTGTGTTGACCTGACACAGCCTACAAGTTGGAAAATAACAAACGGAACAGAACATCTACAGCCCAAGCTTTCAGCACTTCTGCCTACAGATTTTAGGCAGTCTCAAAATACATGTGCATACTTTTTAAAAATTTTTTTTTCTCCCCCGAATAAACTAGAACAAAATCATGCTATATGTTGCACTGCAATATTTATGGGAAGCGTTTACTGACTCAATAGAAATCTAAAGGCTGATCACCTGTGGGGCAAACTGGTAGCTGTGAACACTGACTTCAGTTTTGCCTACAGTTCAGTTTTCCTTTCACAGAATCACAGAATGGTCGGGGTCGGAAGGCACCTCTGTGGGTCATCTAGTCCAACCCTCCTGTTGAAGCAGGGTCACCTACAGCAGGCTGCACAGGACCTTGTCCAGGCAGGGCTTGAATATCTCCAGAGAATGAGACTCCACAACCTCCCTGGGCAGCCTGGGCCAGGGCTCCGTCACCCTCAGAGGGAAGAAGTTCTTCCTCATGTTCAGACGGAACTTCCTGTGCCTCAGTTTGTGCCCAATAATAATTCCTAACATTAACACAGTTAGTAAAAACAGTACAATGTTTTTAGTAAAAAAAAGCAATGGGGGAAGTTTCAAAAACATAGCAGGAAAAAGTAGGGTGATAGGGAAAGGGCCTGCTGTCTGCTTGGCACATCGCTTGGGACGAGGTATCAGCGTTTGTGGATGGTATGGACTTCAGGACGATGTTCAGCTTGAGCCTAGAAAGCAAAGTCTGGCACGGTGTTGCTTAACCTGTGGCTGTCAGGCCGTTGCAGGGCCTGATGCAGAGCACCAGAGAACAGTTCTTAGCTAGGCCGTCAAAACCAAAACACCGTAACCCTTCTTTAGCACAGCAGCTGTATCCGTGCAGTCTATTACGATTTAACAGAACAAACTGCACTACAGGCATTTCACTGCTTGCGGTCAACAGCTCCATGTCCAAGTGGAGACCAGTGACGAGTGGTGTCCCTCGGGGCTCGGTATTGGGACCAGCACTGTTAACATCTTTGCTCGCAACATGGACAGTGGGACTGGGTGGCACCCCAGGCAGTCTGCCGACAACACCAAGCTGTGTGGTGTGGTCCACAGGCTGGAGGCATGGGATGCCACCCAGAGGGACCTGGACAGCCTTGAGAGGTGGGCCCGTGCGAACCTCGTGAAGTTGAACAAGGCCAAGTGCAAGGTCCTGCACATGGGTCAGGGCAATCCCAAGCACAAAGACAGGCTGGGTGGAGAATGGGTTGAGAGCAGCCCTGCAGAAACGGACTTGGTGGGGGTGCTGGTTGAGGAGCGGCTCAGCGTAACCCAGCAATGTGCGCTGGCAGCCCCGAAGGCCAACGGTGCCCTGGGCTGCATCTCCACAGCGTGGGCACAGGGTGAGGGAGGGCATTCTGCCCCTCTGCCCCGCTCTGCTGAGACCCCCCCAGGAGTCCTGCATCCAGCTCTGGAGCCCTCAGCACAGGACAGAGCTGGAGCTGTGGGAGCGGGGCCAGCTGGGGCTGCTCAGCCTGGGGAGGAGAAGGCTGTGGGGAGACCTTAGAGCAGCTGCCAGTGCCTGGAGGGGCCTGTCCAACAGGACGAGTGGCGAGGAGGTGGCCATGTACGATAAACATGAAGAACACAGCCAACAACAGTACATGCAACATGAAGTCCAACTCTCAGGCCCGTTTGCACAACCAAATAAAAAGCCTCAAATGTCCCTTCTCGCTGTTGCCAGGCAAATACTGAAGTGTGAAACCAATACAAACAATGGAAGAGAACCATCAAAACTGTAGGAGATCCCTGACTGTGACAAACTTTTCACAATTACAGCACACGAGTCACTTCTGCTTACACGAGTTACACCGCTGCCCGCTGTAAATGGGCTGGGTTCCCAAGAAACTCCAGGTAAGCTAACGGACCACCCCAAGCTATTTATTCTGCTCCTGTTAGAGTACACAACACTCGCTTGTCAGCTAGGTCCAGCTAACCACAGTGAAACTGGAAAGATTTTACTTCTGTCTTAACCACGACTGATGCCTCGGCAACTCTGGAAGACCCACTTCAATATCGAAATGTGATGATAAATGCAGAAGTGAGAAAGGATGAAACCCCGCTGCAATTATTAACGAACTTCTTGATTCAGACCACCGCTGCCTTTGGAATAGTTCTACAAAATAAAAATATCAGCCTAATAGAGCAGAATCACTGCTATGACAGTCAAAACTATCGTCACTGCAAAGGGAAAGCAATGTCAGCTTCAAATCGAAATACTGCAATCAGCCAAGCAGACAGCTATCCTGACCACTCAGCACTCACCCTCAACGGTCAGGTCAGTCCTGCTCAAGAACATTTCCAAACAGCACGCTGTGGTTTTATTTGAGGTTATCCAGAGAAACAACAACAGGCTCAGCCAGTTTATGAAAACAAGAAACACTGGTAGCGGCAAACTCGCCTTCGGCTTCTGCTGAGGAACCGAAATACCTGTGTCCTGAGAAAGTGCTGAGCCTCACGGACCGACGACAAGGCCCACTGACCTAGGACACGTCTCTTGCTGATAATGCAAGGATGCCTGGCACTCCACTCTGCGGAGCTTCTCACCCACTGAGATGCAAAAGCACAGAAGTCCCCGATCCCAGGGAATTCGGTACACATGTAGCGTTTTGCCCGGACTTAATTTAGAAGCCAGGACAGCCCACGGCTCCAGCTTTGGTCAATGGTGAACTCTTACATGGGAAAGCAGCGTGAACCAAGGAAGGAGGAAATACCCACCTGATTTAGAAACGAGCTTCTGGCCCCAGATCCTCAGCAGATGGGTGGCACCAGAGGTGGTGCCTAAGCGA